AGAAAGAGAAGATGGATGAAGCAGCAGCAGCATATGGATAGAATGTGTTTTCTAAGGTCACTCCACCTGGTGCTAACACTCTGCTGTAGTGTTCTTATGTTCAATGATATGGGCATCTTCTCTTCATTAATGTGAGTCATCCACTGGCTTATTACACTTTGCCATATTTGTTTATTAGTTCATGTACTTCTATAAACAACAGGATGCATTAAATGGTGTACCAGAACTGAACTGATACCCCCACTGAAATGTTGTGGCCTCAGATGGTAGAATATATGCTCAGTATTTCCAGATTTTCTAGTGTGCCTATTTAGCACTTTCTAGAGATTGCAGATTCATAAATACACTTATAGGGTTGGCAGACTCAACCTTACAATGGACTATTAGTAGCTCCTAAGGAAGACTAAGTACCCCAAGAAATAGGACATGCCACACAGCAAGCTTCAAAGAGCTGATTCTGAGGAAGACCAACTGGAGGTTATTTGTGATTGGGGAATTACATGAACTCAACAGGACATTTTTAAGAGACATATGGCAACCTGACTCAGAAAAAATACACAGCTTAGCCATGCACTGGTGGGGTTGTAGAACTTCCAGCCCTTGTAACCCTCAGGATAGCCAAGGAAGACGCACTTTTCCACATGGGAGCCCAGAGAGCGACATTTATCCCTCTGCACATGCACATAGGCAGTGCAACCCCAAACTCGGAGGTGGGAGACGTCAGGCTTACACCCATGCCATAGCTGGTAGGGCGTGCCCTCTGGGACAGCCTCAGTAGGCAAGCGGTTCCACACATGTACCAGACCAGCAAGGCACTCTCCCCAGAACGACTTGGGCAGGCCAGACTCGGCCAGGACAGCAGTGATGCGCTCAGAGAGCACCCCATTGGCACGTTCAGCAACCCCATTCTGCTGAGGGCGATTGCGAACAGTGTGCCTGCGCACTATGCCACACTCCTCTGTGAAGGCGAGGAACTCGTTGGACATGGTACTCGCCACCCTTGT